TTTAATTATTGAAATTTATTTGGAGCCGTATTGTGTTTTTCAATTAACAAGACTAAAGCATGATCCTAATGTCACAGGGCATTTCAAATCAAGTTTTTAGTATGTAGTGTGATCATACTGGAAAAACAGAACAATACAATGCACTCAAACAAGTGAGCATACATGGAAAATACTGTAGATGTTTAATTGAGCTGTTGATGAACACTGTTCTGCCTTGAAAACACACGCAGGAAGGAAATAGAGGAGCATTGCACATCTTGTAAAAAAATGAAAGCTAAATTGTGGGTGGTGGTGAAACATGTAGAAAGATCTTCAGAAACAAAGTAAAATATTTTTGATTCTAAAAGAACTTTCACCTTCTATTAGTAAAGTTTACTGGGCACAATTACCGGACAATTTGATTGTTCCAACTTTCTGACAAGGTCAAATGTTAAGTATGTTATTGTTATGGATGTTGTTTTATTGTATACTAACTGCTAAGAAAGTGCACAATGATAATTAGTATGTAATATGTATAGTACACAGCAGAAAGTTAGTATGTAATATGTAGTTTAGAGAGTTAATATGTGAATTGTCTTTAAAATAGTTAGTATGTACTATGTTCTGTTGAGTGTTAATATGTTTAGAGCCAAGTGAGCATTTCTGTGAGCTTGTACTTCTTTCAGTAAAATGCTAACATTACAGTGGCAATGCTGTTGAATTCTTCTTTAGTTTAGCATATTGCCTTCTGGCCAAGTTACAGGGTACACTCGGTGGAAATCCAGTGGGTTTTGCAGGTATTTGGTCTTAACAATGAAACTGCTGGAAATGAGAGGGCATCAACACATAAGGCCAGATCCATCCTCTGGGGGACAATTCATGTTAGTCCAAACTTTCATTGGAACCCATCAGGCTGCTGATGTATTTCTGTCTAGACCAAAGAGGTGGACCAAGTAACACTGCCCCCCCTAGTGCCACGCCACTGACACAGCAAAAAATCTAATTACCACTTCACGGTAACCCATGGTCACATCCTTATAAAAAGGCTCTACACAACAGCAAAGCACAAGGTCATTTACTCCAATTCATCTGACTTGCACTTCATATCATCTATCACTGTCAATTTTATCATGATAAGAAAATAGATTAGATGTCATAACTTGTTTGAATACATTTTACATTCCATAATTTCAAGGTTGGGATATTAAAGCACCTAAGCTAGAGATCATCTACCCACAACTCTAGCACCACCTGCTCATACTGTCAATCTACCTGCTAATTCTACAAACATCTGTCTGTCTGTCTGTGGAATGCATATCTCATGAGTTTGGTAAGATTTGGACACACGGTGAGTTCAATATAAATATAAAAATAATAAACAGCTGATCAGCGTTCTGTAGCAGTCAGTGTTTTTGTGGACCGGGCAGCGTGCCTCAATAGTCTGTGGACCGATATGAACATGTCTTCTTCTACGTCCTCTGATAAATAACAGCATGGTCTGCAACTGGGTCAAACAGCATTCATTTATACTGAGGGGCATTGCAGAGCTTCTATTTTCAAAATATGTGAACTTGGGTCAAGAGATTGCTTCGATTGCTTGACAAAAAAAAAAGCTCTGCACACAATTTCCAGCACAAACACAATAAAAAATTAAAAGTGGCAGTATATTGCAGAACTGTTTGAGGAGGACGAGGAATGACAAGGAATAGTAGCTCAAGAAAATTACCACAGGCCAAGAAACCAGGTCCTAGCATGGTTGTAGTAATGATAAAGTGCTTTATTACAATAATAAAGCATGGAGCTACTCCAGCAATTCCCTAAGTAATTCAGATCCCTTGCTCAACAACCAAAAGCAGAAATGGTTCATATTGTCACCATTAGACGTTCTTTTTTCTTTGCCTGTGCAAATGCCAGAAAGGAAATGAAAGACATCTGCTCTGGACTTCCCCTCAAAAGGCCTACTTATGTTCTGAACCCCCTCACAGCCTGGCCAATGAGAGCTTTTCTCAGCTACGCATCTGTCCAATGAGACAGCAGTTTGTGGCAGCAGGTATATTCACTTGGCCCTGCAACAACATTGGCTCATGCTGCAGTGTATGGTACAAATTCAGCCTTGAGAGAGTCACAGATCCTGAGCTTTGCATGACAAATCTCACCTTCTTTAGACTGTAGCCAGCATGGAAAATGATAGGGGGCAGCAGAATGTTGAAAAATACTTCAGGGTCAAATGTCACCTGGAGGAGAAAACAAAGTGAAAGCATTATTAGGGTACATTTGACCAGCAGAAATAAGCCATTTGTGTTTTTTCTGACTGGTACCTTGCGCAGCATATCATTCTGCTCCACGTTGTGAATCTCTCGGGAGTTGATCTCCCCTTTGAGAGTGTACTCAAAGAACTTTCCGCTGACATTAAGCAGCAGGGTGCTAGCAGGTCCTTCCTTCATAGAGCAGCTTGGGGGCGTCTTGTTATGGTAGCTGGTGGCAGGGATGCCGTATCGCAGAATAACACCTACCAGCAAACCTGAAAGAGGGAGATGATGACGGAATAATAAAAAAACCGCCCCTTTTCGTGGGTATCACCAACGTAATTAATCAGCTAATGTGGAGCACTAAATATCACCAAGCTAAGCATTTTCCAGGTGCTTCTGCTTTGCAAGCCCTCAGGATCAGACAGTCACACAGAGAGCAGCAGAGCACAGAGAAAAATGGGGAGATAGTGAAGCAGAAGATTGTGGGGAGTGCAAAATCCAGGAGGAGGCAGGCAGGCCGTTATAGAACATAAATCCTCTGCTCAGACAGCAGTTATCTGCAGGAGACATGGCCAAGCAAAGCTGCCAGCACTGCACTCGCTGCTTCTTCATACCAGAAGATTGACCATATACATCACGCTCCAGTTTGGCAACAAGCACAGGTTTATGGAAAGCAGTTTGAGCATTTATTCCATATCTTTGATATAATGCGTCAAAAAGCCGACTAGTATGGACTTTGGTGCTACTAGTGCTGCACACGGTGTTATAAGGTTTCCTTTGGAACTAGTTGGACAAAGGTGCCAGTAGTTGCTGAAAAAGAGTGACTAGTTAGTGTTTTTGTTCAAATAGTATGTTAAGATGCAGAACTAGTTTGAGCAAATGTCTAACTAGTGCTGAAAAAGACCGAACTAGTGGAGGGAACTGACAGGTGTTATCAAGGATAAGGAATAAATGCTCAAACGGCTTTTCATACAGGTTCTACTTAGAGTTCTAGTTGGAAATGAAACCGTCTGTTGTGCCAGTTTCACATAGAACAAATGGCAGTGGTCTCAAACTTCAGGTTCTTTCCAGCTCATGGAAAGTTTTCTGCTTTTCGATGAGGAAATGCCATAAAAGGAAAACACTTGCTTTTGATAAAATGTTAGTCCTTCAAACAGTGACAGCACTGAGCTTTATTAATGTTTCATCACTGTGCCACAGTAACTAACTGAAGATACACGTTTCTGTTGAGGCTGCTTTTAATACACATGATCAGTAAAGTGACAAAGTTTCTATTTGTCATCACTTTGATATTTGTGACAGTCCAACAAATATAAACAGTCTGATCAAACACAAAGTAGGTTTAAACTTCTTGATATCAAACTGAATCCACCAACAAATATACCTAAAAGCACAAGTTATGAACTTGCCATTGATACATAGAAACCAAGCTGTCTTAAGTATACATTTGGAACACATATTGTAAAACACAACAAGTAAATTAATGTTGCCACTTCTGGAAGCAAAATCCTTTTTTTGTTTTTTGACCTTCTGCTGGTTATAACTTCCTGCTGGAGCTGAATGAAACAACATGTTTTTTTTCTAAACATAACTTTCATCAGAGATCTCTAGTTAATAAGTGACATATGCAACATCGACTGACTGGGATCATTTTGATAAGCTACGAAGAAAAACAGAACTACTCAAATTCTCCCTGTTGCTCTGAAGCTGTTCAGCTTAGCACGAGTTGCTGCACACTGTCGCCATGGTTTCGGACGGATTGTGTCATTTAATCACCCTTTGGTTTCTTGATTGAAGAGTTTTCTCTGAATGTATCTGCAAGGAAAGTGGACCAGCCTCTGTTGTTATAACAGTTAGGCTTTCCAAATGTGCTTATAGGGTACACATTGTACAGCATATGCTTCATTAGTCTGCCCAGTGAATGTCCTGTACTTTATGTAGCTAGTCCCTGTAGAAATAAATCTAATGAACTCACTGGCACAGAAATATATACAGGATGCAGCTGATGACTTCCCACCACAGTGACGGATATTTAAAGAAAAAATCAGCTTTCGGCTGCTTTGATTTTCAAACTTCATAGCCTTTAACAAACTGAGACGAAGATGAGATGGTATAATCTCCCCTTTTTTTGGCAGAAGAATGATCAATATGTTGCTGAGAGTATTGACGCACTCCGCACAAATAATTAATTTTGAGGGTAGATACGCACATTGCATGCAAAACATGTATTTCATTTTTTCCCCCTGTTACCTTCCCTCTCATTTCCCCAATGCTCTGTTAAGATCTTCGTAAGCTTGAAGGACATATTCAATATTTAAAAAGAGCCCCACATAGAAATGTCTCACTGCATCACTGTCAACCCATAGCAATACCCCATGTCAACTAAAGGTACCAAAGGTGGCCCACATTTGTTTTGTGCTATTTAGGCCATATTCACCATTCACCACACAAGGGTCACTTTAGGTTTTAGATAACACCTTGCCTAGAGGACCGAATGTTTGCCAATAAAGGTCCACACTTGTTTCTGGATATCTGGGCAAAATTTGCCATTTTTGAAGTGCGCAACTTTAGGCTCACATCCATTTTGTCCAGGCCACAAGTGCTGCATCATTGCCTGAGGTGGTCCACATCCATATTCCATCTTTATAAGGCATTTCACAGGAAGATATTTTACATGAAGTCTAAAACAACAATTCTCTTCAGCTCTGTGGACTGATTTAGGTTCATTACTTGATTTTAAGGCCACAATTTAGTACTTCTGTCTCAATTTCACCACTTTGATCAAACTCTTTTCCAGTATAAGGCAGGTATGTGTAGTGGAAACTGTGTTTTCGGTAAACGGATTGCATGTAAACCTGCCCAGCAACAACACTTCACAAATATTAGCATTCAGAAGCTAAGGAGTAAGATATTTCCCTGAGAAGGTAGAGACCAAAACAGAGGTAAAAAGAGAGAGTAGTCAAGCTATAGGATATTAAAGTCCAAGGGGAACCAGATTAAAGTTTTAAGGGAGGCCATTAACTCGGGAGAGGGTCCTCTCTCTGAAGGCCTCCGTGTTTTTACACTAGTCCAACCTTGACAAACACCTTTTGAGTTTTTATGTCAACTGAACAACAGGTTGTCTGTCATGATTGGAAGGGGAGGGTGAGGTGAGGGGTATTCAGCTGCAACATGCAACTAGATGTCACTAAATTCCACACACTGAACCTTTAAAAAACTTTTCATAACCAAATGAATGACAGTTTGAATTGACCGATTCTGGAAGAGACCAAAACAGAGCTAAAAAGGAGAGAGTAAGTAGTCAAGCATTTGGCTGTCGAAGCTGCTATTAACTGCAAAATTGTATTGGCGTATTGTAAAACATGTTTTAAAAATACAGTGGTTATACAGAGGTTATACCATATAAAATACTTAAAGGTCACAGTAACCTAACTTGTGGTAGCACAGACATCGTGTGAAGGCCTTCACATATGTTAGGCTGCTGACTCCAGGTCAGTCAGACTGCGGTGTTGAGTAGACAACAGCCCGGAGCACCTTCTAGAAACCAGTGTGGCCCAGTTAAGACAGAGCCGTGTGAGCTGCGTCAGTTGATTCAGACTTGAATCAGACCCATGGTCCCTGAGCAGCCGCTGCACAAGCACCACAGGACAGCCTGAATCATGCAAAGCCTGCGGGGGGGTGGTGGTGGTAAAGGGGAGACTGAGTGTGTGTGTGTGTGTGTTTGTGCATTCATCACGCAACCTCACCGTAAATCATTGCCAGCCCGGTTTCGTGGAGGAATCGGACCCGTCTGTGCTTGAAGAGCCAGATGGTGAGGATGGTTAAGGTCAGCAGCAGAATGAATGTCAGCAAATTAACGCTGTCCTGTCGGTGACTTTCCTCAGCCTCCTTCTCGGTGGTGAGTTCTTCCATTCCGTCGCCCTGCGCGTTCAGTCCGGACACCGTGTTCAGTAAGATCCAGGCGGGCATCATCGCGTCCACCGCCGCGCAGGCTACGCTGCGCCTCGGCTGTCGGAGCGCGACCATGGTGCAGGATGCTGCTGCTGCTGCTGCTACTGCTGCTCACAGCCTCTATTCCATGTCACTGCGGGCAGGTACACACAGCTGAGGCGAGCAGGGGGAAGCAGTCCAGGGCTCAAAGTCCGTAGACCGGCGAGTTCAACCTTTTAAAGGCACACTGCGCGATGCGAGAGCACGAGGAAGCCGAGACTGCGCTGCCCCTGTGGAGGAGAGCGAATCACACCAGGCTGCAGCCACCAAAGTCCACCGATCTCAACCCACTGAGTCATTGTGCTGGGATTCTGATGATTGTGCAGTTCAGTGCCTCAGCCTTTCTTCAAAACAGGAAATTCACGTGGTCTCTGAGTTAAAAACGCAGCCTTTTTGTAAGAACAGCAGGAGGAAATATCCGCTTTGTATAGTGTGGCCTAAAGCTGGTAGTGATAGTAGTGGGTGAGATGTGGCTTTTCACCAGAGGGGCACAGTTAGATGTGGTGTAAAGGGGAATCAGAGACAGGGTTTTAAAGGAGGCCATTTCTGTGGCCCTAAATGTAAAGTTGCACCACAAAAAAATACAGTTTTAACGTGAATAATGTCATTTATAGAGACAAACTAGAGGTAATGCATAACTCTGCAGTTCCCCTCAGCTCTATGGAGAGATTTAGCTTCCACCACGTCATTATTTAAAATGTTAAGGCCCTGACTTTAATCTTGTGACTCATTTTCACAACTCTGATCAAACTCTTTTCCAGTAACTGGTAGCTGCATGTGTTCATTGTATACAGTGTTAATAGCTAAACCAGTCTACGCATTCCTGCCCAGCACCAAATGACTGACAGTTGACAAATAGCTGTTAAACAAAGCAGAGCATTTAGACGCTAAAGAGTCAGATATTTCCCTGAGGACCTGTAAGAGACCATAATGGAGCTACAGGAGAGCGAGTGAGTGAGTAGCTAAGATAGAGGATATTAAAGCTGTGATTAATGGCCACATTGCATTATACTGTATTGCTTTGCTTTTCGGAAATACATACATATACTCAAGCTGCACGGCTCTAAAGTGCACTTCAGCGGCTTCCAGAATTATTATCTACCAATTAATTCCACAAACGTCTCCCTGTCTATACATATGTCACGAACCGTTCATATAATCAGTTTACCACTTGGTACATGGTATTGTTATTGGCTCAGAGAAGTGCAGCGCTGAGTTTGATGCGATTTGCACAAGCGATTTGTTCGATATTAATATGATTTGAACAAACAGTCAACCAGCGCTCTGTAGCAGTCAGTGGGGGTAGGGTAGTATGCAAAAGGTCAGTCTGTGGCCCAAGTTGAACATGTCTTTTTTACATCCTTGGATAAACTACAGCATCGGTCAGAAACTGGCAGCCGATAAACTGTGGCCCGTAGGATCATTTTGAAAACCTAATAATTTTTATTTCACCATTCACAAAAAACATTTTCTATAAAATCTTCACTGCAGATAACCCAGAAAGGATGAACACAAAGTTTTTTAACATCAACTCTGCACACAACATCCAGCACATGAACAATAAAAAGTGACAGTAAATTGTAGAACTGTTTCAGGAGGACTCACTAATGACAAGGAATATTTCAGAAGTAGCTCTGCAGCATCACCACAGAACAAGTAAACAGCCCATTCCAAACAGGCAGGTTTAGAACAGGCACTGCACTAGTGTATGTTAGGTCTTACGGGAACTACTTGCACACCCTGACATTTTAACCGAGTGTCTCTGTCACAATGTTTCTGCTGATTGCAGCTTCAATTCATGCAATTTAATTTTTAATTATTTAAATTGTATTAAAACAAGAAATGACTGGGAGTTGGGGCCCGGCAGGAGGTGATAGGGCACAGACAGAAGCCACAGAGATGGAGTATCACAGGGGGGATTTTAGGAGGGAGGGGGTAGTCAGAAGGTCCAAGGTGCCCTAACAGGTTAATCCAGCCCTGCCCCTCATGTGCTACAAGTGTCGCTGGTTTCACATTGGTTTAATGGACTGCTCTGGTGCCATTATGCAGGCTGTAAATGTTCTCAGTGAGAACACCCTCGCCACTAATGCTCACTGGTGAGAAAGATAGTGCTGCAGAAGAGCTGTTAGAGGAGGGTGAATCTTTACAAATTAATTAAAAACTGAAACAACAGCAATTCATTTGACGCCAGTAAGACCACAGTGCACCAGATGTTATATCATCTCTGTGATTGGTAAAACAGCTGTAAAAACATCGGGTGAAATGTTTATAAGAATTCAAGCAACATGTGTATCTAAACCTAACCCTGTACAGCTCTGATTTGATTTCTCATCCTGTCACATGGCTATTTCCCCTTCTAACCTAATTTGTACTCTGTTCTTTAGATGCTGCTTTGATAGAATCTGTACTATACACCATATAGTCTACAAGTTCAGCTGCATACATGCTTTATAGTCCAAAAGTAACAGTCACATAATGATTATATGGTTACACAGAGTTGAAAAGGAGCATGTAGAGGAGAGGCCAGGCTTCACAGCACCTCTCACAGAGGCATGATGGGGGATTACCTATTATTAGAGTGTCCCAGTGGCTTAAATTGCAAGCTAATCTGTCTGGTGTAAATAGGTTTCCTGTTAGTTGTTGTGTTTTTGCTTGTGCATGATTGTATTTTTTTCTAACAACAAATTAAACTTAAATCTGGTTATAAACGTGGCTGGAGTGTAAAACAATGCCCATACATCATCACAGACTTTTACTAACATGTATAATTTTACATTAAATGATTCCAGCACTATTTCACTTCTTTTATTGAATCCCTTTCTGTTATTTATTTTGTATAACTCATCTTCCATGAGCTGCAGTGTGTAAGAAGTGGTTTTGGAGATGAAGGCAACACCCAGAGAGGTGTGCCCAATGTGCAGATGGCGGTGCATTCATGCTCATCTGTTGAATCGATTACACCTTCTCCTTGCTCACGATTGCATGGGGTTAGATATCATACTAATTTGAAAGCACCCGTACTTTATAATCTGGGACGTGTAATTGTATTTCAATGCTTAAATTAAATGAATTGATTTCAGTGTTTATGCAAAATCATTGTATATTAATAGCAGCTATGATGTTGTCATACATGTCACACGGAGTTATTATATATTAAGAACGTGTGTCTTTTACTTCATGTCCATACAGACGCATTGAAATAAGATAAAGATGAACAGGTTAACGCAGTGTGTTTGTCATGATTTGTCCCTCAACGCATCACGGGTGCACACACTTCCTACGTGAGCCCGTCCCTCAGCCGGGCTCTGTGATTGGCTGTTGTGTTGACCACCGCGGCGCTGATTGGTTGGTGAGGCGGAGCTGGGGAAACGGGAAGCAAAAAGGAAAAAAAAAAAATCTGGTCAACTGAAGCTCTCGTAAGCTTCAGCTTCACATTTCTCGTGTTCGCGGATCAAACGTTACGGCGAGAAAACGCACACCAGCCGGCCGCCGCTGTACGAGTCAAGATGGGCTGTTTCTTTTCCAAGAAATCCAAGAGGAAGTCGGATAGAGAGGATCTGACGCCGACAGCTACGACCGTCGATACTACGACGACAGGCAACGCGGTTCCCCTTGGCAACAACACAGACGAGGCTCCGAAGCAGTACAGCTGGGATAAGAGAGAGAAGGTAACCACGACCACTGACACACTCACTCCATACTGTCGGTGCTGGTTTCAGCCGCTCACTTTGGGTTTCTGTTCAGCTCACCACCCTTTAACTTGAGCTCTCACTCGCTTCCCGGTAGCTGATGTTCGTTCTCCACAGTTAATACACTTCACGTTTACCTTTAACTTGCAGCTACATTGTTATTTAGGTATTTCAAAAGCAGAAACCAGTCGATGGAAGCCAACCTGCGCCGCGTTCAAATCTGCCTCAGTGTCAGTGACTCTCTGGTGACAACCTGTAACAACCTGTATCAGTCAATAATGGCGATGTTGGTGTTTCTGATCATCTTCCCCCCCACCTGCGCAGTGTCACGTCTTATTCACTTCAGTGTTACCTAACTATCCAGAGGATGCACTCGAGGCTGGTTATGTGTTCACAACACTTGAGTTTTAGGATCAACGCCCTCTCCCTGTGTCTCCCTCACATTTCGTGTCCAGTTATCTCGTTATCGGATTACTCCACAACTTTGTGTAGCTCGCTGTTCTACAGCTGACCGCACTCGCAGGCGTTAACCCAGCGGTGGTTCAACTTCCGTTTTGACTCTTGCTTGTTGCACTTTAGATATGTTACTAAAAATGCTCCTCCATGCCAGCGGTGGAGTCACAACACTGCTTTATACAATAACTTGCTTGCAATAACTTACACACACATTCTTCTATACAGTTTACAGTTGTCACTTCGGTTCCTGCACTTGCATCCTCGATTGTTCCACTATATTCTCAAATATAAATAGTTTTATAGTATTGTATTTGACTATTTTATATTAAGCTCCTTTTGCTTTTTTTAATTTACTTCAATTATTGCTCAGCTGACCTGTCCTTCTAGTCCAAAACATTTCATTGCACTGTTGACCGTGTTCACTGACTGATAATTCAAACTTGAATTGGAAACTTGTACCACATGACCTGCAACTTAACAGGGTTATACGTCACATTTGTCGTGGTAATAATTATCGATGACTCATGTATGGAAAACTTAACAGTTGTAGTGATACAAATGCATCATCGGTATGAAAAGCTGAAATGTTCTGCAGCAAAGTTTCATACAGAACTATCACTATTGATATTGGATGATAGAGGTGGGAATATATCTGATTGTGGTGTAGATCAGAAATGTTGTGCATCTCTAAATACTCATCTGGTCACCTTTCTCTTCACATAGGTCGATCCCAAAGACTACATGCTGACAGGGCTCAAAGATGTCACAGTGGGCCGTCTCCCTGGCAAACTGAACGGGCAACAGTTTGTCATCCAAGAGTGTGAGAACTGCAACATCTTTGTGTTTGACCACTCAGCGACTATCACCATCGACGACTGTGTCAATTGCCGCATTTTTCTCGGACCTGTCAAGGGCAGCGTGTTTTTCAGAGACTGTAAAGACATCAAGTGCGTGGTGGCCTGTCAGCAGTTCCGCACACGGGACTGTAAAAAGATGGACGTTTTCTTGTGCTGTGCCACTCAGCCCATCATTGAGTCGTCCACAGGCATGAAGTTTGGCTGCTTTCAGTATTTCTATCCTGAGCTGGCCTTCCACTTCAAGGACGCAGGGCTCAGCATATTCAACAACAACTGGAGCAACATCCACGACTTCACGCCAGTGTCCGGTGAGAACAACTGGAGCCTGTTGCCAGAGGCTTCAGCGGTTCTGGATTTTGTACCAGCACCAGATACAGAGTCTGAGTTCAAGTCAGTGCGAATCTCTGCTGACCCCACTCGCAGCATTGTGCCTTTGACAAAGGGAGGGAGACGTAAGGACAGTGAAGAGTCCTGCCTCTTTGTCTTCTTCGCTGGAGAGTACAGCACTGCAAATGCCCGCAAACTGATTGATGAGGTGAGAATATTAGAAAGTTTTGCTTAACTTTACACTTGATTGTGAGGTGTTGTTTAAAGGGGGGAGTCTTTATTTGTATGTGAATGAGACAAGGGTGGTGGCAGTATGACTTCTTTTGTTTAGCTAACTTGCTAAGATGCTATCCTAAGATGGCTGTGTGCTACTCAGGTATTTTAGTTATGTGTGAGCTCTTGTCAAAATATGCATTACTCAGTCACATAAGCATGAGACTGGATTTACATGTGTCTTTCTGCATGACACTGTCACCCTGCGTGTTGACAGAGGATTTTTTAGATGCTTGATGGCTCACTACAACCTTGTTGTATAACCTCATTTTTAAAAACTCTCATTCAAACAGGCATCTGCTAAAGGTTTTGTGCTGATCCAGACAAAGGAAGTCTCAATGCGACCTGAAGACGTGAAAAGGGTCTTCCAACACAGCGCAGAGGATCTCGTGGAGTGGATCACCAAAGGTAATTAGTGTGAATGCTGGCACAGCGGCTACACTATAGTTTCCCTCTTTCTTTATTACTTTTAATCTTGTGTACATTTTTTGGCGGAACTTTATAGGCTAATTCACTGATAACCTCTGCGCACTTCAACTGATTTCAAATTCTCGAAAATCAAAACTTCCACTTGTTCAGGACACTCCTCAGTTTTTCAAATATTCAGCCTTTTCTGCAATAAAGGGCGTCTATGGGAGGCTAAGAGTTGTGAAATCACATTTCTTGGATCTTGTGGTGTAACATGGTTACGTTATTTCTATTTTCATCCCAGCAAAGCTTTTCAGCAACTCATCATTTACACCAAATCTTCAGCAGGAAATGTTTTATCTAGTTTTCACTTTTGTCATTTTTTGGGCATGTTTTATTTTTTGTGTTACTCCAAAATATCAGCTGAGATCTCATCTGACAACATGTTGAGAACAAACAAATGATGTAGCACATATTATGGCAGAACACAGCGACACACCCACAATGTGTCTTAAAATGTCTTAAATTGAGCCATTTACCATTGCTATTAATCTTGACTGTTACCTCAAGCTATTGTGTCAACAACTCTACTCTGTTCTCCTTGTTGATTCATTCTTCCACCTTATAACTAAAAAGTATCTGTGCTCATCCTCGGACAACAGTTAAACAGTTCTTTCTGCCATTTTCATGAGTAAGAAATAACTTGTGGTCAACACACTCACATGAGTTTTATTATTAATACTGCTGACTACTCGTTTCCCAGTGCCCATTTGGTAAACACAGCTGAAATCAGATGAATCAGCATTTGAATATGCTCATGAGGACTGGAATTTTAACCGATCCCCATTTCCCTAGTAAGCTCAGCTGTTACTGTTTCAAAACCAAAGTGTATGTAGATGTTACAGGATTTTTGCAAAGAGGAGGGAGGCCTGTATTTAGCTGTGGTGTGAAGGTAACTGTAGATTTGTAGTTGCTGCACCGTTGTTGAGTTGTAGGATTGTGACTTTCATATCTTACCACAAAAGGCCCTGTGATTGCCCTGGAGCTGAGTGGCGATGGAGTCGTGGAAGCCTGCAAGAACATCGCAAATGAAATGTTCAGTGGCAGCAAGGTAATTACACTTTGTTTGTGGCATCTTTCTTTTGTCGGTCAAAAATATTTTCAAAAGCTTAGAGTGTGTTTTTTTTCTTTCCCCCCCCACAGGTTTTTGTCTCTGATAACAAAAACACATCCTCTCGGGATGTGGACAGCTTCTTCAACTTTGCCGACATGCAGATGGGCTTGTGAATTATAGAAGTATATTGAACAAACTGCTTTTCACTCTCTGAATCTTATTTTCTAAACCATCTGCCGCCCAGATTGAGTTGAATGCCAGTCGTGATGGGACTATTTGCCTCTTTTAAAAATAATAGGTAGGAATGGAAATTATTAAGGAATAGATTCAGTCACTATCATCCAAAAATATTAGCTGTAAACCATTTAATATCCATTAGTTGCTATGAATGCTGTGAATATTTCAATTTCTATGAATGTATTTGATAATCATGTTGCTTTTATCGATTGTGAATGTAGTTCTTTGCTGTAAATCGGATTCATTTTAATTTAAAGCATTTGTTTTTCCATTACCGTCTGAAACCGTTGACACGGTGGCAAATCCATGCGTACACCTAAGGGAAAATATTTGTATTTATAAATCATATTTTTATTTCCTGTAAGGATTTGTGTAAATGGTTTAGACTTTTCTTTGTATAAGATGTGTATATTTGAAACTTGCTGTGTAGGTGATAAGGCCAAAGCTGAATTGTGAAGAGCTTGAGTGTATCTTGAATTCAGATAAATTATTGGGTTTTATGCTAAAGTTGTATAAATACTGAGTTATGATGTAGGCAAATTATGTGACCAGTTTAGAAAAAATATATTTGTAATATTTGTTTTATACTCCACTCAATGTTTTTGTATAGAAACAATTTAATGTTCCTCATCACTGTTTTTAGTAAAAGATTCATCATGTGCGACCAGTTTTGTCATGAATTAAATAAATCGTGTGATAATGGTTGTAGACTGACAAACATCAGTCAAAATATAGTCAATCTGAGTTACCCCAGTTACCGCATGTCTCACTGTACATTACTGTATTTCTGGCTCTAGAATCATCACTCATCAGATAAGAGATGTATTTTCCTCTGTGTTGCAATAGAAGAAAACTGCTTAAACATTAGAGCAACTTGCAGTGTGAGTCACGGGATCTGGAATTACCAATGTGCTGTCTTTTTTAATCACAGTTTTGCATCTTTCACTTCAGCTATTTGACTTCCACCTTTTTCAACAACATTTCAACGTTTGACTTCCTAAAAACATTCTAGTTTTCCCAGCCAGCAGCTTGACCTCAGCCAGTCTGTGCTGGGGGCTTGTCATCTCATCGTTTATCGAGGACTCATGCAGCATGTTGCAGATGTCGGTAAAGATAAAATTGGCCTGAAATATCAAAGAGCTGACTAAGAAAAATAAATTAAATTCCAAGAGTGACTGTGTGGTAAATTAATATCAACCTCCGGGGTGCATTTAATGGGGTGGGCAGGGGGTGGTGGTTCTAAGTACAGTCTTTTTTTATACTGAATGTAAAATGGCTGCAATAGTGTAATTCCCTGTATAGAATAGAATAGAATGCCTTTAATGTCATCACACAATGAAGCATGGCGAAATTACAGCAGCTATTACTGAAAGGTGCATTTGGTAAAAAAAT